AAGACAATAACAATTTAAATCAAGATGAAGGGAACGTAGAATCATGCCTTCTCTCACTCATTTGCAATGTTTAAATGTAATGTGATTAGTAGTGTGCGTTTTTATGTTACTGTTTATTGATACCGTTATCGTTTCTATTGTTTATTAAGTGCCGTCGGTGAGAGTGTAAATGAGACTTTGTAAGACTTTTGGTTCATGTGATGTGGAATTTACTTTTAGTCGTGATGCTGATGATGGGTTGTATACAACTCGAAATGCATTCAAGGTTGGTTAAATTTTAAACATTTTGTGAAATCATTAAGGTGAATTTTTAGAAAAACTATAATAATCATTGTGTAGTTTGGAGCATTTGTCTCTGAATTAGATTTTATTTATTCAATTTTGCTTGAAGCAGCAAACGGAAGTGTTGGGTAAACAAAATTTTTTGATTTGAAAAAAGGAACACACACGCAAAAAAAAATATTGTGAGACGCGGAGACAAAATTGTTTTGTTTGTTGTGTGTTGTGTGTTGTTTTAAATGGAAATGCATTTTTTACTTATGGAAAAATTTGCGTGTAATTCTCCCTAGTCGAATCTATGTGCCGAACGAGCGAGCGAGCGAGATAGAGTGAGAAATCACAATCGAATGTCAATGCATGTGCAGATTTTATTGCCGTTGTATATTGCACGCGTAACGAATACATTTTAAAGGCCGTCTGTATTCAGGATAGTTTTTTTACCATCATCCACGTTAAAATATTTATGGTTTTGATGCAAGGAGTCCAGTGTGTACGGCAAAGATTTTTTTTTAACTATGCCCTATACTCAATTGTAAATTCATCCGTTTAAATTTATCGAGCCGGCACAAAACCAAAAAATCCTATATTGACATTGGTCTTTCTGCCTCTCTCTCTCTCTCTCTCTCTCACACACACACATACACAGATAATAATTTATAGGGTTTTGAACTTTGAAAGCTAGGTTTTACCCATCAAAAATCAGTGTTAACAACAACAACAAGCGGCCATGGCTTCATCCGAAGGTATGTATTTTATATTTAAACAGGTTTTTTCTTTATTTACTAAATCTGCAACCGAGAAAGTCTGAATTTCGAGAACACTTGTATTGTTCTGAGTCATGTGATTGATAATTGGACATTTATTTTTTTTAATAGATGCATGGTTAAAATTCTTTGAACATGCTGGTGTATTAGGTGATGTGGCAGCGAAATATGCTCGCAGTTTCCATGAACATCGAATGACTATGGATATGTTAACGGAATTAAATGACATGGGCATTACATGTCTAACTTACATGGGCATTACATCAATGGGCGACATCATTTTAATTTTACGGTAATTTTTTGAAAAATCACTTGAGTAGCTGAGAATAAAAGTGGCGATACGGAAAATCTTCCTGGCACGATTTTGTATCGTAACTTTTATTCTCAGCTACTCAATTAAACATACATACGTTGTTAAATACTCCATGTGTTTTTTATTTTTAACTCCTTTTATTAGACATGCACAAAATGTGAACAAGCAGAATAATCCTTTGGAGGAATTGGCATCATCAAAACAAGGTAAGATTCGATCGGTTGAACTAAGCTGTAATTCAAATGAACAAAAAAAAAAAACAATGTGTGTATTTAAAATTCCCCAAGCGCAATAGCCCAATGAATTGGGATCCGGAGATTTTTTTTCTTCACTTTCCGAATCATTTCTAATGTTGATACTGTTTTTTTTCGACCACTACCTTGACATCTCTAATAGATTTAATAGACCTTGACATCAATCTCTATTTGTAATTTTCTGCTTTATGATGTTTCAGACCGAACCGCATACCGCCTACTATCTCAAGATCACAACGAAGAATTTGACGATCAGTCAACTCCACCAGAGTATAAGATGTCAATTGGAAATTTTGTATGGAGCTTGTTAGGTCTAATTCTTTTTTATATTGTTATTTACTGGTTTTCGGGTCTTATTTTTCATGATTGTGACACATTAAACGATTTTATAGGTTGTTTTAATAACTATGTAGATTGTAGAATTCATTGCATGTAATATCGCGTATTTTATATACATGAATGGTGTATGG